CAAGTCTGTGTAAACTGGGAATCCATCCACGTACTATAGCAAGAAAAGAAAGCATCAAAGAAACAGAAGAGTCCCTTATTTAAAAATTCTGAAATTATGCAAATCTTAAAACTTTTTTTTAATGAAATGGAAAAGATGAAAATTAAAGGATTTCTCCTTGCGAAAGAGACATAAGCTCCTCGGCAGCCAGACAAAATAAACTCATGGTAAACAGGTCAAAAGATTAAACATAAGAGAAACTATTAATTTCATAAAACCACAGTTTTGTCCACTAAGACCAACAATAGTGTGAACTGATAAGTTGCTAGCAAATAAAGAAAACCATTTCCTATTCACAGGTAAATGTTTTCAATAAGAAACCCCATAAAAAAAAGCCCTGCTCCCTGTCATTATACAAAAACTCATTGTTCACGTCAGCTGGCTGCATGAAGAAATTATACCAAGAGACTTTAACAACCTTCGACTCAAAAACCCCAATCACAGAAAAAGACAGCGTTTACTGTTATGATTGTACACACTAAGCATGAATGAATTTTTTTTCAAATTGCATAAATAAATACCATAGATAATTGTCTTTGCAAGACTACTTTGAAGGCCAAAGTGGCTTTGCCACTAGAATTATATGAGAATAATATTCATTCTGATGAATACGAGTACTCTTGTCGGTGAAGCATTTTATTAAAATCTCTAAGAGAAACATGATGGCAGTAAAAACATGATAATGAAGATTTCTTTGAAATGTGAGAGGGGAGGGGAGGATACAACTTCCGACAGTTTCAAAACACACTTTGCATATATTAATACATGACATCATATATGTACACAACTCTGTTCAATCTTTCACACTATGAAATCTAATCTATGTACATGCTTCAAAGAAACACTCGAGAAAACCTACGGAGATGGAGTATGGAAGCGGGCCGATCACTCACACAACCATAGATAAAAGAAATCCATTATGACGGGAGAGAGGGCAAAAGCCAGAAATAATACAAACTCATCCTTTTTTTTCTTTTCTTTTTTTCTATAACCCCTTTTCCTCTGGACAAGTAGACAGTCTTTTATCCTATAAATCACTTTGATAATAAACCAAAACAGTTATCACAATTATCTTTAAAAATTTCAACAATCATGCCTACATTCCTCACGGTTTAGATATGTCCTGTTAATATGTTGAAGAAGAGATCTGTTAGAAGGTAAGCCTACAGAAATCTTAGACTTCAGCAAGAGGTAGAAAGACCAGTATTGTCCTCTACAGTGGCAGGAAGGTACTAGAACTGAGGGCACCAAAAGACATAACATAAGCCTCTGTCAGCACAGCACTACTCTTCAGATGTAGACGGAACCGTCCGACTCGGGGGCCACCTGGCACTCAGAAACTGTAATTATGGGACATCAAAGCCACTACACAGAAAGAACTCACAGAGGAAGACGTGCGGGTGCAGGGTTACTTTCCTGACAAGCCTATTCTTGTTTTTAGTTTTCACTGAATAAAACAAAACAATAATACAGAATCTACCGCTAGGAATAATTATCTCGACAAAAATTTCTGAACAATAAATGGTCTACTGTAACAGTAGCTAGATCATACTAGATGACTAGCAGCTGAAAATATAGAAAAAGAAATGCTCCTGGTACAGTATCACATGAATCTCACATTTGGCCACAAAATTAGTAACTAATGCAATTTGTCGATTATAGAAAAATTAGTACACTGTCATCCATCCAAACCAAACTATGATAGGAAAATTCAGCACTACATTATGCTAGAGCAGAACCTGATGATATAATCCTCCATGACAGAGTAAATACAAAGAAAAGTAAATGAACACATGTACTTTTTGTTGTCAAACCATAAGCATTAAAAAAAACCAAAAACTTTCAACCACTGGTCATTTCAACAAGTGAGCAAAAAAATGTTTAATGGTCTTACCCTCCTTTCTATATTATATTAATAACCCCAAACCCCTCACTAAAAAGAATAACTAAACCTTCCAAGCAAAATATTTACACAAGAGAATAGGCCCCTAAGCATCCACATCACTACTTTCTATCCCAGGTGACATTATTTTTGCTTCACAAACAGGTAAGGAAAAAAAACAACCCCAAAGACAAAGACGACCACCTTCCCAACACTAGCAGAAAGGATGGCAAAATTATGGCAGATATTTCACAAGGGTTTAGTATCCGTTCACTGTCACTGCTCTCTTGTCCCTCTGCTTTGCTCTGGTTTTGGTACGTGCTTTAAAGGATGCAGCATTGATGAAAGTCTGTAAGATAAACACAAAGCATAGAAAACATCAACAACTGATTCAGTATTGAGAAAGAAGCATGATGGACAAATGTAATTTTACAGACCAGCATACACCTGACAGCAAAAGAATTGAGATCTGTTCGTTTTCAAAAGAGATTTAAAGCACTTGCAAAACAATTAGGTCATATAAGAGCTGAAGATTAGGTGTTCCAAGAGAGTAACAAACAAAAAAAAAGGAGGAAAGACACAGATGATAGAATTTTTGTGTGTGTTTAAGTAACAATTTTACTGCACTTGCAACAGTGCTGAAGACTAGAGGTGTTACAAGAGAGTACCATACACAAAAAAAAGGAGAGATTTTTTAATAAGGATGATAATAGATATTTGACAGGAAAGAGAGAACAAAGCACATCAGGGCATCTGCCAACCACTGACAAAGTGAGATTGAAACAATACAAAAGTACATACCCATAGAAAATATTATGGGGGGGGGGGGGGGGGGGGGGGGGGAGAGAAAAGTACAGACCAAAATTAAGCACAAAAAAGAATAGAGGTACCCTCCATCTATCTGCAAGATGATGTAAAGAAAACTTTTCTTTGAGCCCGAAAAGAGTTTTATTCAAAACCACCATAAAAATGCCTGACAAGGAAACGGAAACAGATTTAAAACAACCCTAAACTTCACCCACCTTGACATGACGCCCTAAAAAATATGCACTTTTGAGGAATGCCATTTTCTTTTTGTTACGCGTACTCAACACAACCACTTCCTATGCCATTAAGAAAAAAATTGGGAGAAAATCAGCTGGTGTAAAAGACTCATCATACTAACAATAAACCACAAAACCAGAATAAGGCAATAACAAAACTGAAAAGAAAGAATAATCCACATCAGAGCCCACTGACCACCTGCCTGTTGCAAATCTTTCCAATGTCAACAAGCTGAAAAAGAATCTACCATATTGATCTCCTCAGCACATGGTCATGTTTTGAGAATTTTAAAAAACCCAACTCAAGAGTCATAGAAAAGTGAAGAAAACAACTTTAAACCAACAATACACGTTCCCAACCCTAAACGCAAATCACTTTCTAGAGACAATATAGGGGGGGGGGGGGGGGGTGTTGCCCAAATAGGCAGCATTTGTGGAGTTGATATAACTTGAAAGATGAATATGGGTATTGCCAAGGAGCCAAATGCCATACAGGAAATGTTCACGCTTTTCAAGATGATTGAGGAATCATGAACATTTTGCTACCCTCTGATGGCTTCCCCGAATGGGAAAATGGTAAGGTCGTAGATGAAGATCTGCCTTGAGAATACGGCCCGTTTGAGATGAAGGAAAGTCATTGCTGCAGACATCGCCTACAGAGAGACACCTCATGGGGCTCATCTACTGAATTCTGCACAATGGTAACATTTCAATGGGTGCGAATGGTGTGTGTTTGACCTGTGGTGGTCGTTTTGTCTGGGAATATTTAGTCCTGATTCTATTCAGGTATAACTGATGGACAATTTCCACCCTTTAACATCAAAGAAGGCCTTAAGGGCACTTTAAAATTATTTCCGTACCTTGTGCGAAACTTACTAAATGAATTGGTGGTGAAGAAATGTTCAATGCAAAAAGCTCTCTGCTCTTTACTAATCTTAACCATGATCTCAGCAGGCAAACGAAACTTGAGAAAAACTATCTGCAAACTTCTGTTGGCCTGTTAGACTACTGTAGTTTGCAATAAGGCACAATCGTTGGGAGTTTTAGTGGTCGGCCTAATGCGAACTAGTACGTCATGCTACAAAAATGGGGACATAGCTGAAAATGGGTTGTTTTTCTACGCACTATGTAGAACAAAACTGTTTTGTGGATATATCTAAAGTGAATATCAAACAAATTCCATTTGACTTCCAAATGAGTACAAATTTGAAACGCAAACCTTCAGTGTGGAGGAAAGTTTTAACAAAAAAAAGTAAAGTTGTTTTGTTATTTTTGGATCACCCTGTAATCAAACACAGGAAGAACAAAAGCTGTTTAAAAAATTTATGTGTTTTTATTTACACTCCCATCAACAAAATTTATCAACAACCCTGGATGTCAGGATCAACCTGAGCTGAGAGGGATACATCTCAGCAGAAAGACCGATATACTCGCTAAAAACTCCTCGCAAGAGAAATAATCTCAGGTGTTCTGTGTGCGATGGCGAAGCGCCTAACCGTTACACCACAGACGGCGGTCTAAAGCAGTTGTGACACCCCAGCACGTGACCAGAGCTGCTGAATGCTTACCCTTTGGGCCTTGGAGAGAGACTTGGTGTGGCTGTACTCGTCCTGGCCTGGGGCTCCCAGGTCAAACATTTCTCGCAAGATAGGGTTAGCCTGAGGACACATGACAGCAGTCTTTTTAGTTTTTGTAGTTTTACACCACTTGCAACACAAATAAATCAAGAGCCTGAGACTACAGGTGTTACTAGAGATTAACATATAGAGAAAAGCAGGAGAGATAAGAATGAGAGATGTTTCAAAGGAAAGAAGGAGCAAACCACATCAGAGACCCCAGCAAACCACATCAGGGCCCCAACCATCCACAAGGTGACTGCCATCCCGGCTTCTCAAATTTCCAAGGGGGCTCATCCATTTTCCAGGGGCATGTTACATAACAATGACAGTGCATGCTCCATTTATATATACATACGTACATACACACATACATGTAAGTACGTTATATTCAGCCACCAACATGTCAGTGTGGCACTGGGGTACTGTGTGACTTATGTATTTCAGTCTGTTCTTACTTCTTTTTATTTTCCTGTCATCATATTCGCCTATATAAACTATATAAAAATGAATCTTGTTTTGAGCCTAGAACCAGAACATCGACTGTCAAGAACCAGCCTGGGTCTCAAGGTTTATTTAATAAACGAGAAAAGCAAAAAAATTATTGCTCAAACTCAAAGTAGAGTAATAACTAGAATGGCTCAAGTAGGCCTTGTTGTACTGGGGTTGTTTGCCATTATTGTATTTAATAAGACAAAAGTAAAAACTCTGTTTCAAGATGAAGAAAGTTGATTTAATAAGAAAGTAATATGAGGTCTGCCCTCTCTGGCTTCACTGACAAGACTGAATATCAATGAGCATGAGTACATGTGATTAAAACAGGAAGGAGGAATGAGTAAAGATCACAAAGATCTGACAAATCTTTGTTGTGAGGGCAGATAAAATAAAAGTACAATTACAGAGACATAATTCAACTTAATCATGTTAATATAGGGACCAACAATCCAGGATTTATTGTTTCCCTTCTATATATTGATAAGCAATCTAATAGTCTAACAGGCCTATTCAGTGTAAGAGGTGTAAGAACTGTGGGAGGGCAAGATGCAGTGACACTGAAAATCTGTGAATCTTGAATAGAAAGCTAAAATATAGATAAGACATGTACTTTACTATCATGTTAAAAAACATGGTTTACAAGGTATAGGTATGGCAGATCCCAATTCCACACAAGGCCTGCACCAACGCTTTGCAGAAAGCTCTAGTAATAATAAAAATTCTAAATACTAAAATTTGTATCCAAGTTCAGTATTTGTCATCCTGTGCTGCCTTCAACCCTATCCCTCCCCCGATTGTATCTTTCAAAAAATTTCAATAATACCCCCTTTTTCCGGAGCCCTACACTCCGCAGCCCTCAGACTTTGAATGAACTTTGGTGGTCCCAACGATCACCAGTACTCACGATGTGAGGCGAACACACAGGTTCACTGACCGGTTACAATGGCGAACCCGACTAGACACTTGTATAACTTTTTTTTTTCCTCAAGAGACAGCACAGGACAAATATTGATTTATTTTCATGGCAACACAGCGTTTGTAATGTAGGCCTACAACCTGCATGTCACAAATGTTGCATTAATCAGACTGCTACCAGTAAATTTCTGGGTGGTAACCAAAGCGAAAGTAGATCGAGCTTTGGTATCACAAATACACTTCCGCTTGTCGTCATAGCGCCTTTTCGTGTAAAACGTACTCTCAGACCAAGAAAAGCCGAATCAATATCACAATCGCGACCGGCAAAAATGAACCCAAGGATATTATCCAAATTGGTTTTTAAATGTTCGAGAACTTATATGTATTTTCCCGGGACATTCCCAGAATTCCTCAAATTCCCGGGTCTCAGCGATTTTTATCAAATTCCCGGGGCCTGGCAGTCACCCTGCATCCACCCAACTACAGATTGTGTAAAATATTTCTTCAAAATGCTTCACAAAAAAGATCATCTAAGGAACAGCCCTAAAAGTCATCTCAATTTCTTTAGATAAATGAGAGCAGGCCATGGGCTACAAAATTTAACTACACTTGGGGGACTCCACAAGTGGAGCACAAACCTTCATGTGCACCAAGGTTCCAGTCTGGAGAATTTGACAGAAACTGTCGTATTGTCGTTTCTGACTCCAGCTGCAGATCTCAAGCAGATTCTCTTTGCCCAGTTTCACCACCTCACTTGGATTCTCACATTCCTGAAAGACAAAAAAGTTTATACTTACATAAGATGAACCTCATTAACAAACAAATTAATGATGAGGAAACAAACATAAAAAAGCATTCCAAACAAAATTTTATAAACTTAAAATTTTAATAACCTTCAATTGTAGATCATAAGAACCATTATTAAAATCAAAACGGTAACATGATACTCAGAACAAAATTGCTGACAAGAGAAAAGAAATAATAATCACTACTGAAGACAGAAAAGCAAGTCAAAAAGGCGTAGAATTGCTAAAAGGTGAATAAAGGCAATGAATATTATTTTGGTGGGTTTTTAAAAATTGTAACTACTTTTTAACCTACAACTAGGAGTGATGTGACAGAAGACAAGCTTTTGGTCTGGGTTTTTTAAATACCCCAGCTTACTATTGTTTTTATAAAACTTTAAATTTAACACATAACTTCAAGGGACATTTAGTAACGAAAAGGTAATGTAGGATGAACTGCATATTTAGTAGTGTGTGGGTGGGGAAGGGGAATAAAATCCAGATCTAGAAAAACTTCAATGACACTTTATTCTGAAACCCAGACAACTCAGAACTTTAATTTGCTTACATTGTACTGCAATTGTGGACACCGGAGCTCTATCAAAAAAATGTCCTTTCTATGCCTGGCTGCAATTTAAAGGTCCAATCTATTGTACCTGAGGCCAGGCCTCAAAGGTCAACTCATTTACTCTACATTATTCAAACATTTTATCAAGCAGAGGTAATAATTCAGGGACCTAATTAGGAAAAAGTGAAGGGCAGAAAGGAGATAGATGTGTATTCGAGAGTGAGAAGGAGATAGTTTAAAAAAAAAAAAAAAAGGAGACCAGGAGACAGCAATGAGAAAGGATACACAAGACTGTATTTTCCAGACTTTTAAAGCCCGTGAACACATTCAAAACACAGTCATTGCAGCATTTATATCTTCTCCATCAATCAGACACAATCCTCCCTCACATGCAGTCACATTTTACAAGAAATAATGAAAAGTAGAAAAGACCGGTTCAACATGTTTAGCAAACTTTCATGAAAAATAAACACAACTTGAGATTAAACACTACAGACAACCATTCTGAAGTTGTTGTTTTTTTTAAAGGGCATTCAACAAAACAGAACCCCACCCTCCCCCCCAAAAAAAAGCATAGGAGTTAATACTTTAATGCGCTTAACATCCATAAGGATGTTATGCTATGTCATACAGTCAAAGCTAACAATTAGGAATTGGTATACACTATCAGTGTTTCTAGAAATAAATAGTGTCTTACCACAACATAACGCTGCACATCTCTAAAGCATGAGCGCTGCTGCCTGCGGTCCTTTTTGGCACGATGTTTCACAGAGTCAGTGGCCAGCTGCTTCAGTAACTCACACAGCGAGGTCTCCTCCTCATGCTCAAAGTCCTGTAGGAAAAAAAAGGCCCCAAAGACATAGTAACACGAAGAAATTGACAACTGCAATTGAAAACAACATTCTGTGCTAAAACAAGGAAATACATATTTAACACATGAAAAAACTTTGCTGTCAAAACTATTAAAAATCCATAAACAAGACAATATCGATTGAAGCACAATATATATATAAAAACTCCCAATCATTAAAAGAGAAATATTTGGGTTTTTGAGGTTTTTTGGGGGCTTTTTTTAAACTGAAGACATGCTATCAACAGCTGTAAAGATTAGCAAGACTTTGTGCAGGTACACTAAAAGAAAAAATTTTGTAATTGCAATTGGACTCACCTCATCAGAGTCCCTGGCTAGTTCATACAACAGCGCAACGGCCTCCCCTGCTGCCATACGTAGATCCACATCGGAGCTCTGGAGTAGATCCTGTAGGTAGCCCAGGTGACTGTAAAATTTAAAAGCAGAACAAAGCACATTTTCAGGACAGTTTGAATACCATGACCAATTTTTTCAATGAAAGACAAGTCACTTAACTCAGTAATATTCAAAACTACAACAAGAATTTGAACTCAAATTTATACAGCTTTTCACTAACAGCTGAGAAAAACCAACTTCAAGAATTTCAGCACAAAATCTTAAAAGTCAGAACTACCATCAGCACTAAAATTCGATTCTATCCTCATGGTTATGTGTGATGTGAACGATTTCATCGGCTGCCGAGGCATTTTGAGTTTTCGACTGGAAGATGAAGGAAAACCTTTGCCAAGTAAAATAAAGCAAATGGCTTCCATCAGCATGAATAGAATATTTTTGCACTAAACTCTTCAGCCTGTTTTGGGCATTTTGTGCAAATAATAGCGATTCACTTGCTTCAGATTTTATCTCAGGACACAAATGGCTATAGATTAGAAGCCAGAAGTTGGCAGCCATAAGCAGCTCCGCCCTCATTTGTACTTGAAAGACCAAAAAACCCTCAATCCTAATTAAAGAAACTTACTTGTTGATGTGGGTCTGCACTTCATACTGTGGTGCCACAGTGAGCAGTAAGCACCAGGCAGACAGGGCCTGACTCATCAACCAGCTCATTTCAGGTGGTACGCTTGGGGAATTCTCTCCCTTGCCATACCCCAGCTTGAAGATGTCCTCAAATGACTTGATTGCTGTCTTTGTCTTCTGTGAAAGTGACATTATCATTTCCCTCGATAAAAACTTTTCTTCACTATAAGCAAAAATGCAAATTTTAATGTAAAACAGTTACAAAGATAAGAAAAAAGCAAGACAAAAGACAAATTTCCTACAAAAATCTGATCCCAGTCCTTAACAATATCCAGATATATCCAGTCACCTAGTCCAATGCAAAACACATACCCAATATACTCACATATAACACGGCCTCACGTACAATACAGGGGGCCTACTTTGACTCTAAAATTGGCCCAATTTAAGATCTCTCAACACCTATGAAATCAATACTATTCGAGCATCAGTCTTAGCTTTAATTTAAGAACTGCTGGTTGCAGCATTGAGATTCCAGAAATCCGTTCAACTAAGTCAAGATTATCCAAAGGTGTTTTGCATATTCTCTTTTCTTTCTTTACTTTTAGCATTTGGAAAATCCTTTTTGGCATTATTTCCTCCTTATTGGCCCAATCCTGGTAGGATCTCACGCATATAATATGGGGGGCTGTATATTTTTCAAAACTGCCTACCACTCCATGACCAAAAGTAGGACTTTTCCTCTGAATCTTCCCAAAATAAGAGTTTGGGGATAAAAATGTGAGTTTCCAGAAACCTACCACCAGAAAACAAGAGATGATAGGAAAAAAGGAGGAGCCACCAGAGGCATCTGCCAACCACTGGCAACAGGACTGCCGTGAACAGAATCACATTAAGGAACTGGCAAAATGGAAATCAAAATTTCATATACATAGCGGGTGGTAATCTCCTGAATTGCTGCTAACAGTAAAAAAAACAACCAAACATAAACTGTGACATTGAGGCAAAATCAAATCAGCATCAGTATAACAAAAAGCCTAACACTAAACTTCTCTGAAAGACAAAGGGGTGAATTAGATTAATCACTGGTACCTGTTTCTCACCCTTTTGTCCCTCTGCAGGCAAGAGAATGACCGTTTTATTTAAAGGCGCTGCAGCTACTATCCACTTGCCTCCTCTCCCCCCCCCCTCTTTGATTATTCAAGCACTGAAGATAAAGAGCAACTTACCTCAAGGTCATCACTGCACAACAGGCACATCATGGCAAGCGTGGTGGCGCACATACCTCTGACTTTGTAGTGTGATGAGTTGTCTGTCAGGAGCACACTCAACACTGGCTGGACGCTCATAAACATGGACTCTGCTTCTGGCCCCAGCTGGATAGCCATAAGGCCCAGGCACGATGTGGCCACAATTTGCTCTTCCCCTTTGCCCTTACGCAGACATTTCACCAAGTTGTCTGAAACTGTCTCTTTCCTGAAATATAGGAATGAAGAAATATGGTCATGTTATGCTGTACAAAAACATACTTCTATAAATTGGCAGATACTATGAGCCTAAAAAAGTGTACAGTATTTTTTAAAAACATTTTTCACCTGCACAGCGAGCAGAGCGCGCAACACTTATCCCCACGGACCAGGATACAGGTGCGGTAAATGCTATATCACACCATCACCGATCGGCGTCCCACGAGGAAAAGGGACGGCTTCTTACCGTTGCTGATCGGCGTCCCCTGGGGGCAAAGCGTTAAACTACACCAAACCAAACAAACAACAACCCCTCCCCCACCCGTAAAAAAAAATAATCACCAATGTCATGCTGGAAAAACAAAAACACAAAGAGATTGTTCAGGCACACGAAAACAGCTCCCCACATGACCAGCTGAAAAATCTGCTGCCAGAAAACCCAATGCAACACTAAACAGTTTATTTGAACAGTGCAAGCTCCAAAGGTTTCCCAGATCTCGCTGCTATCCTTCCAAAGATTTAAAGGTTACAAAAGACTTAGGTTCTTATTCCTTTGAGTGTCCATCTACCCCCACTCACTTTCTGTTTGTTCCTTTCTATAAATGAGAAGCAATCCTTCATACTCGAGAACCTGGTTAACCAAACAACCATGCCTGAAGGCACAGGGAACCATACCAGAGGTGCATAGGCACAACATGCATGCACTATACTTCTAGACTAAAGAGCATGAGCTGAGATTTTTCATTAATCATATAGGAGCAAACATTATTCATGTTCATAAAACTTGCACATCGTATAGTTCTCAAAGGAAAGACTTACTATCAGTAATAATGTCGCAATAACTTGAATTCCATATAAGATAAATCTCATCGAATCATGATGTAACAAGAATATAGTACAGACATCTAAAGTATGTTAGTTAACAATCAAATATTCCCATTATCACAATAATTTAATCTATTCCACAGACATACCATCAACAAACAACTACATTTTTTCTTCAGTGTCAAATGCAATATCTGTCAATTATAAAAATGCACACTTTCTTTCACTTTTAACGCGCAAATTAGAAAGTAAATCAAAATTTCACGCAAAAGATATTGTCATTGATGCGTAGAATTACAATAAACAATCAATCAACTGTTCAGTGTAAGACTGCCATCAAACATCACTTTTCCAAATGGCGTTTAGTGGAGTCTTAAGCATTTGAAACATTCTCAAATGAAATTTCATTTTGCGAAAAAGAAAAGAGAAAAACAACCTGACTGATATCAATAAGAGAAAATAATCCATTGAGGGATTTTAAAATCAAGACACTTTCAAAGAGACAAAAATACATTAATACATGTGGAAACATGATCCCACTCTTGCCTTCTTTTCCTACTTTTTACTATTATACAGTTCATATCAATTGCTATTTATACAATAACAAAGAAAACACACAATATGGTTCGCAGCTATACAGCAATATTAGACTTAGTCACTGACCTTTCAAGTAAAAACTCTGCCACATATTTCTTTTGAAGAGCTTTCTGTATCCCTTGAAGAGCTTTCAGACGAGACTGTGCGCTAGAAAAATAGAATGAAAATTTTAGAAACCACTGTGAAAACATGATTCGTAATGACAGTGTAAAAAGAAAGTAAAAAATATGCACCTACCTTTTGTAAAAGCATTTTGAGTTTTGCAAAATTTGATCAGACATAAAAGATTCCCACAAACAAACAGCACCCAGATTTTTACCTTTTCTGCAAGGTAGAATCCAGGCATTCCATGAACCGATCCTCGAAATTTTCCTGCTCTGTTGTATCCTCTGCATCCTCCTCTGTATTGTGACCTTGGTCTGAAAATCAAAAGAAACAATATTTAAATAAAGCAAATGAATACAATTTTAACATTTATTTTCTAAACTGCACAATGGTTAATTACATGATAGACTTAAACAGAAATATATTTACCTATTTGACATTCTATTGAATTTAGTCAATCATAAATTTTAATAGGTTCAGATGTATGTGTAAGCCCTGAAAGTAACCGTCATGCTGCCACAAAGAAGGGGGAAGAAAAATATCACAAAATTTGCAAATATATGCCGATGAAATGTTCTGAACATCAGTAGAAGAGATAGTAGAAGGAAAGCCTTTCTAATGGAGAGAAGAATTCTGAACATGACGGTTTTTACATGAAGAAAACGGACAACACCGTTTTATACACGGACAACACCGTTTTATACAGCATTTGAACACACAAAAAATCCTACTCTTCGTTTTTTTAAAAAAAAAGGACCCAGGATAGCCTGAACGGAATCACTTTGCTTGATATCCAATCAAAAAAAGTTTATATCTAGTGTGCAACTATCATTGTTGCATTGCAAAAGTTCACAATTCTGTACTGCTTCAAGTAATGTGAAAGAATAAGAGGGAAAGAAGAAAAAAAAGCACAAAACACAATTTTTTAAAATTAAAAGACCAAGCCAAAAACATAAAAAGAACGAGAGCTATGATTGTAGACTTAGCAACTAAAATTTCATCTTCTAAACCACTGCACCATCACTACACAGTTATAAACTTACTCATAAGAAAGAGTGTAGTAAAAACATTTTCAACACACATTTCTAAGAACAGACCAAGATTAACCTCTGTATCAACAAACATCTCCCTTATTTTATTCGTGTACGGACGACAGAATAGACACAAAGACACAATCATACATCAGGAAATGGCTAAAAGTTGGGCACGTACCTGAACCATGCCAACTAGTGTCATCTGACAGCACACTCTGGGTGCTCCAATTATCTGCCACACTTTCATCATCCTCATTTCTGGTGCGTGGTGCAGGAACTGCAGCTGCCTCCTGACCTTTCCCCCCTGATCAAAGAGAATTAAGAGTCATTTTGAAGATTCATAATGATTATTCACTTAAACAACATTCATACAAAACAAAGCCATCGAAAATGGACAACAGGTAGGTAAGTCAGTAGTAATAGTAAGTGTTTGTTTTAGTAGAGGTTTTACGGTGCTTGTAACTACATAAAAGTAAAAGATCCTTAAAAGTGCTAAGGCTAAGGGGTGGATGTCAACAGAGAAGTCTTTACAGGGAATCAGGCTTACTACTCTGCTCACCTCTCTAGCATCCAATTATTGCTAGATCTAGATCTAGATCTATCTAAACTGGCCCTCCTGCATCATTAGTATAAACAGAGCGAGTAAGTTGAGCTGACCTTGCCGGTGCAAAGTTAATTATGTCGACCTATGAGATTGCGCGTAGCGATCTCGCACTCTTGGCTTATTGGGGGGAGGGGTGTTGAGAAGAGGCCACGGTGTCGATTTTGTGCGATGCACAGAAAAACTAGTCTAGATCTAGAACACATTATAACAAAATGAAATTTTAAACATGTTAAAAAAAAAAAATGGTGATGGAAGTAATGATGATGCTATAGATCTAGTGGTGGTGGAAAGACCCTGAGTTGTCGGTCACCGTGTACTTAGACACTGCCTTTGGCCTTGGGAAGATCTAATACTAGACTTCTAATGAGAGAGCAGTCCTTTGACTTTTGACCCAATTACACAGTCCTAGCAGGCAATTCTAGTTCTAATTCTAATTTTACATAAACCCCCCCCCCCCCCCCGACAAAATATATAATGTAACCTTCTTACATAACTCACTTAGATCTGGTCTAGGATCTAGATCTAGAAGCTGAGCTGAGTCCGAATAAATAAAACCTTTTTTTTGGACCCGAGTCCGAATAGAAAAACTAACGAAGTGACTATTTCTCCGAACGTTCGGAGAAATAGTGCCATTCTTTATTTCTCCGAACGGTTTGCGGCCTCGTGATTTTTTGCCTATTTATTGCGAGAGTTCGGCGCCAACTTTCATTCTGCCTCTGGTCTGGGAAAGAACACCACATGGCAAGCCCGCCTACAGACAACCTTCAGTAACACCCACCACACACCCATCACCATCATGCACATGTACACACACAAACTTATACACACACTAACTAAACATGACCAGTGGGCAACTTTTGAACATATGACGAGCTGAGCTGTGGATGGAGAGACAGTGTGAGTGAAAGAGCGGGTGAAAGGAAGAATGTGTGCGAGTGTACCTACAAGGCGACAGCAACTACAACAAGACGACGACACCGACCCCCCTGGCCTGGTCCATAGCTCACGAACGAAAAGAATGCAGCTCAGGCAGTGTTTTGCCTATATTATTGTCCATGGTTCGCATGGTGCAAGGGAATGAGTGAAATTTTCTTTGTGTGTTCCTGGAGGGAAGGGGTGGGGTATGAAAGTCATGCGGACGGGGATGAGCCGCGGGAGAGAACACGGGAATTGAATGAATGAGTGAAACTGAAAGAGAGGAACGATTCATGAGCCCTGGAATGAATGGATCCTGTGTTTCTATTTTTGTATACTTTAAACTGTTACTGAATAAAGGCTGAAATAAAGCCCGAAAAACAAACACACACACGCTCTAGTCAAGAGATTTTTAGATGAGTGTAAAAACGTGAAAAAGAAAGGTTTCACTACAGAATGGAATCAAAATTAGAACAGCCCATAAACAACAACAAACATTAACAAAATAAGGGCGTGTGTCCACCTGTCCGAAGAAGATTGGCTGTTTTAACCCTAAATGTGCCCAATTTTTTTTTAAAGTACAGGATATTACATGTAAATTATGGAATCACACACATTAAGGGGCCTGCCTGTGTCAGTACATTGGTCGCGGCAGTGACAAACGCAGTCTATGCTAGTTCTATGTGTCGTTATCAATAACCCTCCGTAGATCTAGATCTAGATCTAGACAGCACACGAGTGAACACAACACCTTACGTTTAAGAGCAGCACCCTTCATAGGCAACACCTGCAGCGAAAAACTGTTTGGAATTGTAGCATTTCTTTATATATAAATATTTACTGCGGACATTTTTTGGACTGATTGAACCATATTGTTACACGAACAATCTTTGGTAGGCCTATAATACATAACTATAGATCTCTAGATCTAGAATCTAGATCTAGAATCTATATTACATCCGAAATTTGCGGGAAAGCATGTGATTTCAGAGTGTTCGGATAAATAGTGCGAAGGGTAAATTTTTACTTTCACTCCCGCACACAGATGCACTGTTTCAGGGGTCAAACTGCTGTACTGTTTGCTGCAGATCACACATAAGGCCACCTCTATTCTCACCCGGAGTGAGAATAGTGCAGGCGAGTCTTGTGGCTATTCTCACCCGGTGCGCGTTCACCCTAAACCACAGAATTCTACACTGTGATAACAGAAAAATTGTAGAATTCTGTGCCGTGAACAAACGTTCCATTACAATTGTAGCCTACTAAAAGCGTGCAATTTTGTCTGTGGGCAGAGGAGAGAGAGAGAGAAAGAGAGAGAGGAGTAGCGCGAGAATTTCCGGGCAGAACAAAATGGCGACCCGCGTAGTTCGGCTCGATTCGAAAAGTTAAAAAGCCGTAGCATCTTTGTAGACAACCAAATTAATTTACTTTTGTGTTTTAACATCATTTTTTAACTTTGTTTTGGTCAATTTGATCGTCCACACCGATAGACAGTATTCAGAAAGAGACGGAGAGAGAGAGAAGAGGGGAGGAGTTGATCTTGCGAGAACTTCCGGGCAGGTGAGAATAGCCACTTTCCACACATAAAGCCACTAATACTGTCGCAAATCAATTATTTTCAAGACAATTTCAAATCTAAAACTGTGAAATATCAAATTATGGGTAAAAACATGGGGGCATGCCCCCCTGTAACCCCCCAGATTTTCTTTTACCCCAGTGGGCCGTGGGGCAGGCCCCCCTGGAAGCCCCCGATTGGTCCAAAGCATGTCTATCTCGGTTAAAAACAATCAAATATTTCAAAAAACATTAATTTGCGACGGAAAAGAAGTTGATATTCGTGTTCAGCGCATCAATAGTTAGTAGAAAATAGACAACTGGTAGCTGAGTGTGAGACGGGAGGGAAAGTAAAAAAAACACCGTGCGAAGGCCTAAATAGTGCCCGCTTTATTTTCCCGAACGTTCGGAGAAATAGTGCCGGCCTAAAACTAAACCCATATTCGGACTCAGGGTCCCCATGGTCCGAATAGATAAAAATTAGGAAGGACTTCGGTAACAAGCGACCACCCCATTGAACACAATAAAGAAGAGGCCTAGATCTAGATCTAGTTCTAGAAATCTAGACCTAACCCTACCCCTCCCCCTCCCTACCCCAAGCCCAAGCCCTCAATTCTGCTCTGTCTCATAGTCATAGTGGTCGCTCGTTACCACGGAAGTCCTCCCAAAAATTATATTCCTACTCGAGTCTTCATCCTCTTACCCAGACCTCATCTGGAACTTATCAAGAGTTTGAACCATCAAATGGCATTCTGGTGTGTCATGATGATTACCATGAAGTGGCCATGTGATTTAGAGAAGATTTCAGCTGAGTAACTACCCTCGCCCTCACCAAGAAGGAACAGGTGGTCCAGAGGCATCAGCCCCAGCCCTTTTCTGATAACCTCTACATTTTTTAACTCATAAAAATCGCTTTACTAATCATTCCAAGAAACTCATGTAAACATATGCTGAAACAATAACATATGGTCGAAAGGTCTATGAACGTGACCCTGAGAAGGTGGAGTTTACTGGCAACATGGCTGCATGGCGCAATACTGAGAGGTACACTACCTCTCGATACTTACCTCCACGTCGCTTGGAATTTTTACTTTTCGGCATTATTTCACTGCTTTATAATCAGCCCAATAGGATAAATTACAAGCTCTAAACATAAGCCAGCGTATATGGTACTCAAAATGGAAATAAATTGAAGATAAGGGTGAAAATTGTCCAGAGAAATAATATGACATGTTTTCCACAAGTGCAAAGGGTTGTGCACTAAGCTATTTTTATCACGGATTTCTTAGTCTCTAAAATAAGTACCATGTTCACGTACGTGTTTACGCCAAAAATATAAAACATTTACAATACTTTTTCACCACCAATCTCAGAAGTAAAGATAAAGCATATATTTCCGGGATAGAGACTGAATATTTACCATGTTTTTCTTTTCAAATTCGATAACGGTTGTTTTTGAGAGTAGCGATGATTCATTTTCTACGCCTTTTCATTGGTCAGTCTAAAATAGAATCGTGTTCTTGTTTTCCAAACAACTGTGGGTGTTCTCCAAGGCTGGTGTTCTCCAAAAGGTCGAGGTTCGTCGTGGCGAATAATGACCTACGCCGTCATCCATGGTCACTATGACTATGATCATGCAGGCGACTCATGTATGTGTTACCATGTCAAGTGGGCTGGGCCTTTAAACGGGGGTTTGGGGATTTATTATGGTGATTTACTCACAGGGGCGTTCTCGCAAAGATTTACTCCCCTCGGGCGTTAATGAAGTGTACTCTCGCACATTATAAGAAAGATTATTTTTTATAACATAGAGATGGATGAAAAAATGCCTATATCCAAATTTAGATACGTGCCAAAATGATGTGGAATTGGCATTAATTATTATAGGGCCTAGCTAGGCCTAGGCTACAGTTACAATGTTCGAGGCTGTCCCGGAATTTACAGGAAAATTACCACATAACATAAAAATGTAAAGATTACTATAAGATCTAGAGATCTAATAATTTTCAATTTTGTAAACCAAGGCTGTGGTTTTAGTAGTTCATGAATTCTCGATTCGGATGCACCATTAATTAAAGAATAAACAAAATGAATGTAATATTATGTTCCTTCATTACAACCAAGATGGCAACCACCGTACAAAATTGGTCAAAACGTGAGATAAAGAAGCCGTAATTTTTAGTTCCTCAGACAAAGGGAGCCTCTCTGAAAGTCAGTCTGAACTTGAATGCGTTAATATGAAGCTAGGCTAGTGGGAAGTGAGAAGTAGATATCTACCACTGGTGCAATATATTTTAAAAGGGGGGGGGAATCTACACGATGAGCAAACTAGATGTTGTCACGTGTCTGCAAACACAAGAATATATAATGATAAAGCATTGAAAAACTCATTCGTGATGACAGAGGCTCAAAATTTGTGATATTGCTGATTGTTAAAAAAGCTAGATTTTTCTATGTCAACAGTTCACAGAATTGTCTTTAATAATAATATTATTATGATAATTCAATTTGGGATACTGAAAAAAGGTTAGATCTAGCTCGGTGGGTTTCAAAACGTTGTGAAATAATGGGATGTTTAGCCATGAACCAAAGAGCCCTATATAAATTATACATGTAAATTGTGTAATAGATCTCAGCCATGACAAAACTTTTAATTATACAGCGGTCTTTTTAATGTTGATTCTGGGACAGTCAAGGTACTTACTTGGATCCATAGCTGCTCCTCCCTCCTCTCCAGGATCAATTGAAAGGGTGTGCCTGCTGATCGTGCCAGTTATTACTGCTGGTTGGATATTCTTCTGGCTTTTCCTCGCAGGTTGCTGTCTCCTCTCCCCGACCCTCTAGAGACACCAGCTTCCCTAAATCTATCCATTGTGTGTGAAGTGATGCCTTCATCCTCTCTGTGGTCATTGAACCATGCTGTCACTGCTGCCATGACTGTTGGTGGATCTAATTGCATGGTGCCGCCAATCTCAGCTTGGCCGGCTAGTTTATCAGCACGTTCGTGCCTTGAAAAATGAAATCCTGCATGACCAGGGCTAAAGATCCATCCAATCCTTGTGAGTCTGCTGCTTTGTATTGCCTCTCGCCAGTCTGCATACATCACGTGTTTCTTCACTTTTTTTTAGTCATCATGCTTATTTCCACCGGCTGTGTCATTATATAATAACGTTTACATAAGCTTATAATTTCTGTTGGGGTCACTATGACACGTGAAAATGGTTTTCTAAGTCTTTTTATAAATTGACAAACCAGTTCAAACAATACCCACCAGCAATATTTTCTTTCTTCGTTAACTTTTATTTTAGTGCAGGCGGACCACCTTGACAAGTTGAACCGAAGAAGGCTATATGCATTCATGTGTGAAAATATTGTCATTTCAAGGTGCTCCATTAGCCCAGTTGATATCATGCTGGACTTCGGAATAGACGGCTGCGGTTCGAATTCAACACTGGACGTTCTAAAATCGAGTCATTTTGTGGAGTTTGCAAAGGCTCTAAGCCCATTTGGCTTGTTCCTATTATTAAAGAGTCCCGCTTCTTAAAAAAAAAACCCCTCAAAATTGATAGGGCCGCTTAACCCACACTCTTACACGTACGTACTGGAAAATACACTAGATTCTAACCTTTTAATTCTACGAGAGTGCCGTTAGGGGCTCTCGTTGTCTCATTCAATAGGTCGTGGGTTCGAATCCGGATAGAGACGGAACATTTTCTTCTATAAAATGTTCTACTTCCAAATAATTTCCTGTTCTTAAACAATGTTCTGTCGTCTGCTTTCGTCTACACTTTCTGCCCCCACCCTGCACCCTCCCCTGGGATCCTGACTCTAACTGCAGCCTTTCTACAGCTAAAATCTTCTCCTTGGCTCCTTCCTACTGCTGTCTTTCAGCCACACCCCTGACCATAATTATGGTAGGAAAGATCTACACCTAGCTTCCTCGGACAAGGGCGGAAAATCTCCTAGGTCCCGTGTGCCAGTTGCGCACGTTAAAGATCCATTAATGGGGGTCAAAAATCGATATATAGAGTAGGCTTCAGCCGCCAACTGGGCAAAATTCAAAATTTCCTACTAATTGGAATTCAGAAAATTAATGCTTTATGTGTCCCGCGCGCTCATATGACCTGCAGTTGCGAGCGCCGTAAAACACATACCAAAAAGTGCCTTAAAATATATACTCTGTACAAATAAACAAATAAATATAATACATGTATATATATATATAATATATAAATGGAGAGAGAGAGAGAGTGGGTGGTTGGCGGGTGCTCTGGTGTGGTTTGCTCCTTCTTTCCTATCAAACATCTATCGTCCTTATCTCCCCTTCTTCTTTTTATGTTTGTTACTCTCTTGTAACACCTCTAATCTTCTGGCGCTCATATGACCTTATGCAGTTGCGAGTGCCGTAAAACCTCTACTAAAACTAAACAGGAGAGAGAGAGAGAGAGAGAGAGAGAGAGAGAGAGAGAGAGAGAGAGAGAGAGAGAGAAAGAGAGAGAGAAAGAGAGAGAGAGAGAGTGTGTGTGTGTATGCGCGCGCGCGCACCATGTGACAGCAGATTTCTTTTTGTGGAGATCCGTAAAATCTTATCTATTTTTCTTTTGGTAACTAATGGTGTAGATCTATAATAAGTTTTAATCTTACATCCCTGAGCGAAACACAGGCCGGGTAACTTTCACTTTCATTGGTAATCTACTGATCTTTTAAAGCAAACTTTGAAAAAATTATCTACAGAGCTAGGCTTCAGAGTAAATTTTTACAACCCGACTTTGTCATTATGGTATGATAGCGTACATGCATTGAATTTAGAAAATGCAGCCGAAGCTGCCCGAGAAAATGGTCATCCATTGTGGAGGAGGAAAGTGGCCATATTAAACAGGTGTCCGTCTTACATGTATCGCTACAATGTAAAAATAAAACAGGCAAGGGAGGAAATGGGAAGTGGTTGTTTGTACAGGTGATTGTCGTATGTAATGCGAGTGGCCATTAGAGCAGGTTCGACTGTAGCCTACATGCATAATAATCTGTAACCGTTACAGCAGCAGTCTATAATATATAGTCACACGTTGCGTACGAGAGAAAGGAAAGAATGACTATATTGTGAGAAAGTTTTATTTGACGTTTGCTTTAAATTATTGGAGCAATAATGTGCTAATCAAAAACCTGTCAGTTCAGCCTTGGAATAGTATATATAGTATTGTACGAGCTATCTGTGATTTCGAGTTTTGAGTGTTCGTGTTATCCATACTCGACTGTATTTCTAAACGTAAGGGCATTAGCCTAGTAGTGTCTGTGGAGTTATGGTGCTCCAGAGACGGAATTAATGGACAATTCATAACAACTCCTCCAAAGTCAATATTTTCAGAAGCGAAACGATCGCTAAATTGTTTAGAGTGGATGTTTATCATGCAAAGTAAATGGCAAAGGGGGTGTTATAACTTGAAAAAAACAACAACGTGAAACGTGGACTAGGGCGGGGGGTAAATGTGATACACGGAGGATAACAAGTAGATCTAGAATGTCTTGTTTTAGTAATGGTTTTGTGACATTTGCAACACAATAAGCTGTCCCGGTAGGATTATGTGATTGTGCGCCGCGTTTTTTTCGCGTAATTCTGCAACATGTACATAATTTTGGATTCCCCGCATTTTTTCACGTTCCCCCCCCCCCCCCCTTTTTTCACAAAACAATAAATTAACGCCTGGACATGTGACTAAAGGGAAGTAGCCAATGTAATAAGTCTCATTTAAGTGACACATTGGTTATTTCCCTTGTTAGAAGATTTTGGTTAATGGTTATGGGTTACGGATTTTGTTCCTTGAGCATGTTCAATTTTCCAATCCATCAAAAGTTCTTCTCATGTCTGCTGATGTTTCATGTTTGACAGGTGTCCCTGGCTTTAGCGATGTGCCAGCATCAGAGGTCCAGATGTCATTTTAAAAAAAATATAAAAAAATACATTTTTTTACATTTTTCTTCCTAGATCTAGATCTAGATTCTAGATCTAATATACAGCTGAAAGTTACTGAGATTATATTATTTTGTTGTTGTTTTTTCTGACTGATGTGTATTGTTTTCTTTCTAAATACACAACAAATTACTGATAATGGTATGTTCTGTTTTCAATTTTTCTGTAAATAAAACAAGAAAATTCTTGTTGTAAAAGTGCAAAACATGTCGCGAATGGTGTTACGGTAACTTGCATAATTTTGCATTTTCCCCCGCATAATTTGGCCATCTTAATTTGCATAATTCTACGGGGACAGAATAAGGTCATATAATTGCCGAAAATTAGAGGTACTATAAGATGTAACAAGCACAAAAAAATAGAAGGATGGGAGATAAGGACGATAGATGTATATGTTTGATAGGAAAGAAGAAGCAAACCACACCAGAGCATCCGCCAACCACCCACGTAGAATGTCTGAGTTACTGAAAGAAAGGGACGAGTTACAAGATCTGGAGTGAATAAATCGTGTGAGCTTGTTTGAGACGCAAAAATATACTATGATGAAGCTACAAATAAAAATAGATGTATTTATACTACATGTAGTAGGCCTACTGACTATGATTATAGATGATGATGTTGATTTAAATAATAATAATAATAATAATAATAATAATAATAATAATAATAATAATACAAGTAATGATGATGATAATGATAACATTAATCAGAAACAGAACAGGCAATTATGGTTTGCCACCCATTTCTAGTCTTGCTTGCTCAAAAAAATGTTCTGCCTTCAATACATGTATTTTCTTTAATTGTGCTGTTTCTACAAACATGTACGAGTACCTTTTTCTCAATGGCATAATAATTATTGACTTTTCTCTTTTTTTCTTTTCCTGCTCAAAACACACACACACACATACGCAAAGACACGTCCACAAATAAGTTAATAAATAAAGTATGACATATCTACGCTATAAGTTGAGCGCTAAACTCAACAAACACAAGAGCATCATCGGTCTTTTTATCCTTTCGATACTCTTCTTTTTTGTTTAGTTTTAGTAAAAGTTTTACAGCACTTGCGAGATAATAAGGTCATAGAAGTGCCGAAGAAAAGATCATGTTTTACAAGAGCGTAACATACACAAAAAAGGAGGAGGAGAGATAAGGATGACATGTTTGATCTGATATGAAAGAAGGAGCAACCCACACCAGAGCACCCGCCAACCACTCACATACTCTTCTTTTCCGCCACAGAAGGAGAGAGAGAGAGGGGGAGAGTGAAAGAGAGAGAGAGAGAGAGAGAGAGAGAGAGAGAGAGAGAGAGAGAGAGAGAGAGAGAGAGAGAGAGAGAGAGAGAGAGAGAGAGAGAGAATGAGAGAGAGGGAGAGAGAAAAAAGACAAGGAGAAAGGAAGACAGAGGGAGGAGGGGTGGGGGGTGGGGGGTGGGAGAGAGAGGTGTATGCAAGTATACTAATACATCCGCTTATAGATAAAGAAGGAAACTGATGGTCCTGGGAGAGCCAAGGTTTCTGATGGGGCCTGCCACTCTATCCATCCATCCAAGCGAACGATGGCATTTCTGAAACGTGAGGCCTTACTAAACTATGAGACGTTATAACAGAGAACGGCACACAGGGTTAATAAAAATAGACAACCAGTCGCCTGCACTTGGCTGTACCAATACTCCATCGTATTGGCCAGTGTGCTCTTGGTGTATAATACATAACGTTCTCTGGCTTCTGCTGTTCGGTGGGAAAATAAAGTCTGACAATTACGAGGCTCTGACATATGGTGGGAAAATAAAGTCTGACAATTACGAGACAGACCTTTGTGTTAATCACACCAAGGAAGTAATTTCATACCAATAAAAAAAAAGTAGCCACAAGCACAACAAATCAACAATAATACTCATTCTTAAATTGTAAACTTTGTAATCTTTATTTTACAGATTAATGTGCATGAAACTTTGATAATGGTAAACAGATTACGCATTCCCACATACATATCAAATTTTATTGTTGCTGGCATTTTTAAGAGTCAAAATTCACGATGTCAAACTTGCCTTTCACCAACACGTCCATAGTTGGGTAGGATAACACGAACACAGTAAACTCTAAATGGATAGCTCATAAAATTTGTCATTCTTTAATTTTTCATCATTGTTTAACCCAAATTTATGGATGTGTCAAACACATATTTGTCAATCCCCAACGTGTTTGAGTTATCAATGCCAGACTGTATCACCTCTGCAAGAAATAATTACATATATACATACATGTAAATATAGGAAAGAAAAAAAAGAAAAACTTCTTGTAGCAGGATAAACCTGCCTCTGCCTACACCTGCTACATCCTATCTTAGTGAAATGAGCACTAGCACTAACACTACAGCGGTGATTTGAATAACTGATCACTTTTTAATTTCTGCCTTCCTTTCACATCCTAATCCAAGGGAGAAATGAAATATTGAAACTTAATCTAGCATCTGCGTTTGTTGCCATTTTTTTTGACACAAAAATGGCAAAAATTGCCATAAAATTTCCCATTAATTTTCAAGCTTTCAACTCTCGGTGACGACGTATGTAGCAATATGTTAATAGGGGTAATTTAATCTAAAGCACCAGAATTTCTTGTAGGCTACTCTGGTTTAAGCATCTAGAATATCATTTGTTAGCCACACAGTGTAAAAACGTGAAAAATAGAGATTTCACAACAGAATGAAATTAAAATTAGAACAGCACATATACAAGCACAAAAATTAACAAATAAGGGCGTGTGTCCACCTATCCGATGATTAGCCGTTTTAACCCTAAACACGTGTAATTCAAGAAAAAGTACAAGACAGAATATTACAAGTAAATTATGGAATCACACACAAGGGGCCTGCCAGTGTTCAGTATTCGGTTTTGGAGGAGACACACCCTTACATAACACATTTATATATAAATTTTGAAAAATTAGAAAAAAAACCCAACAAAACATCAGAACAATAAAAAAAAAAGATTAACAGACAAACAAATTTAAAACACAACAAAGACGGGAAAATAAAGACAAACAGCGATATAAATGGAAAGTAATGTACTTATATTCTTTGCATGAAAATAACTATACATGGACACCTTAAAATTATCAAAATACATGTCTAAATATGTAATAGGTTATGAAGTAGCTTTTTTTCTTCTGAAAAATGCACAAAAACGCAGCTGCGATTCGCAGACGACAAAATGCCAAAAATCGCAGCCGCGACAAATGCAGAGGCTAGCTCAATCAGGTCACAGCAGACCTTTAGCCTCAACCAATCAGATAACCTACAAGAAATGATCGTGAACTGGTTAGTGTGCTTTAGCACTGAATGTGATTGAGGTCAATGTTCATGAATAACATAGTTTGTCCTTTCTACTAATTGGATTTGTAGAGTAGTCCATGTTATATACTTGATAAAAAAAAATTTTACTGCTTGATTTTGGGTTGAAAAAAAAATTATTGTAATTCCAGTCTTTCTCTGTGGTGTTGGCACTTTGCTGTTACACACAGAAGAGCGAGTTCATTTCCCCTGTGAAGAGAATTTTTATTGATTATCTCCGTCTTTCTGTTAGGACATTGTACCCCTTAGGCTGGATTAACCCTGACAGGCAGAGTCGAAGCAGCCTGCTTCCTAAATGGTCTAAATTGTGTTGAAAGGGACGTAAAACATTTGATACAAATTAGTTTGCTCTCCTTATAAAATAGAAAAAAATTTGCCAAACATAATCTACAGTTTTTGCCCCTCTCCCTTTCATAAATATACACACAGACTATTGATCTGAAAACCCCCCACAAAATACTAGATGTAGTATAATGCATTGCACGATATATGAAGTTTTGTAGGAAAAGAACTCTCACTGAAAAAAGAACCACAGCTTTTGTCCTGAGTTTGCCCCCCCCCCTCCCCCCCCCCCCCCCCCACCTCCTCATCAAAACGCAGTATTCGCAGTCTGTACAATATAATACAAATATGGGGTACGTGCTTCACTTATAGTGAACCCCATAGCAGCCACGCATAACAAATGCAAAAAGAAAATGAAGACTAAAACAATAGCACTTGTGTAAATAAGTTCATGCTTTCAAAAGGACAAATGACAATCCATGGTTGTTTTTACAGCTTGTAAATAAATTATATACTGGGCAATAAAATATACCTGCGACTGAAAGCAGAGAGGTCCTTGGTAAGACTGTTTTCCCTTGACAGTCCAAGAGGGAGAGTCGATAGATGTCCACATCTGTGACACTTAACTCTTCACCCCAAAACTAGACTTGTTGAAATGTACCGACAAAGTGGGTGGGTATGGGGATGATGAATGTGTGCCTTGGTCATTATAGTATAGCATTAGCTCTAATCCATAGGAAATTGACAACATGGCACAATTTCAGTTATTACATTTTATTTTTCTACAACAATAGTTGCAGTGAAATGTAGCTTGAATTTGACGGAGTTGATATGGTATGGAGGGTATCCACACAATGAAACTTAGTTGTAGGAAGGTAACAAACACTGTGGTTCCAGAAGGCACTCCATTTTGACGTACATAATCTTATATAAAAATATAACAAGGAACCATTGACTGTTACATCTACATTGGTGAAAATGGCAAAGTCATTCATAGAAGTACGGCCGGGGCACTGTAGGGTACATTTAAATATATGAAATCGACTTCTATTAAAAAGAAATCCCAAATTGTCCATGTGCAAAACATTCAAAAATATTTCAATGAATTGCCACATCAATACCAAAAAAGCCCTTGTCAGGCCACTCACATAAGCTGACACAAGGTCTGTCATCTGTAATACAGTACTAAAAAGTTTGAAAGATGTTGGTACTACTACTGTTGATACTCTTATTGTCAGTCAGTCAGTCAGTCAAATGATGGGGCGCATAACTGTAACACCTCTGGTCACCAGAACTCTGTGAGAAAGCACATTCAAGATGTGTGGCTTAATGCACATTTCTCTTATTGCTATGCATACAAATTGGCTCTCACTGTCAGACAAATAGACTCTCATTGTCAGACACAAATGGGCTCTCATTGTCAGAAAAGCCTATGAATATGATGCAATCGACGATGTCAGCAGGTTTTTTTGAGAAGTACAGAATTTACGTAGCTTTTTCAAATCTTCTTCCTAAAGGGGGGGTTGATTTGCCCCCCCTCCGGTATCGATTTGTCTGAGAAAGTCGCCTAGAAATCGAATACTCGCTACTAATGCAGCTGTGCATTGTGTGACGTAAGCCTAGATCTTCCACTGTTTTACTGCATTCTGCTGGGCAAAACAGCTAGCTTATATATTATACAAGAAGACGTTGGCTCTTATTTGTGAACAATGGAAGCAAAATGGTGTAGAATTCAGTCCGGCATCTATCCAGCTGGATTTCGAATTGGCGGCATACATATCCTTCAAAGACATATTCCCAAAGACAAAGATCAAGGCATGCGAGCTTCATTCGAAGAAAAGCTGGCTGAGAAAAATGAAATTGCACTCAAGATCAACTACAAAGACCATGAATCAGAAAGGCAATTGGCTAAAGTACGTGGAATGTGCTTCCTGAAACCCTCTGAAGTAGAGAACGTTTTCGCTTTCTGTGGTAGGTCAACAGCTCCCGAAAATGAGAAAGTACACGAATTTGCAGATTACATGCTTTATAGAACTTATATCATTTATCTTTCAAGCTTTCTGCCTTATATTTTCCTTTTCACTCGGAAACTCAGTGACCACCAGCAAATGACATGCCTGAAAATCAATGCCGTAGAAACTAGCCAGTGTGCTCTACAGAGAAAGAGAGACATACTGAAACTAAAACACTGGAGCAGTCTGAAAGAGGCATTTGCGAAGAATGAAATTACCATATTTTGTCTCAGCCTTCCTATCTCCTCATGGCGAGTAAGGATAAACAAAGGATGACATATCTACACAATAAGTTGAGCACTAAACTCAACAAAAAGTCCCTGCTGTATGTGGGCACAGAGCGCACAAACAGACTGAAGGGCTGTGAACTCATGTCAGAAAAGGAATTAAAACAAACTGGGAGAGGAACTTCTGACAGTAAAGTGGAAAGAAACTCCAACACCACAGCAAATGCAGTTCGTGCAAGTTCACACATTATACAAAGTGCTACGGAAATGTTTGAATACTGCTCAGAAAACCTCACTGGATCTACCTCTGATTCTTTGGAATGTGGGCAGCATTCAAATCACTCATTTGTCCTTGTAAAACCAGAGGATATTCCTCGTGAAGAAAAACCTTCTTGTATTAACGCCTAGGTCAACTATTTAACATCCAACTGTCACTTTTGAAAAGTACCATGACATGAAACAGAAGTAAAAAAAAAGTAAGCAATTCATTGTTCTGATATGATGATAAATTATATGATTTTGAGAGTGATAATTATTTATTACCTTTTCATCTTTGCATACAGGTACCACCAAAAAACAAAAAGTCCATCATTGTCTTGGCCTTTGCAAGCCCTACAACCATTATTCAGGCATTTTTTTCATGTTTGCATACTAAATAAACGCCCAAATCACAAAGTCCATCAAATCAATGTCTTTTCTGATATATGTAAAATGCAACAATAACAAATTTAGTTTTTCTTCTTTGTGAAAATATTTTTAAAAACACCAAGAACAAAGGATATTTGAATGTCTTGTCTTTTTCAAAGGCCTACAAGAGTACAATTACTGTTCAGGCATCTTTTCATTTGGCTACCAGTATTTTTGTATCACTAGAATCCATCACCTTTATCCATTGCTCTATAATATTTTGCTTATTACTTATGTCTTCTATTTTAATTTGATACTAAGTAATATATTTTCTGCAAGTATTGAATTATTATTATTTTGTGGAACACTTGAGTCATCTTTAATCAAATATCACTGGGCTGATTTCTAACAAATTGTGAACAACCCTAATTGTGTTGTCATTTCCCCATATGTCATAAGTGACTCTTTGTTCGGTTGTTGCCTTCTGTTTTTATTTTGTACCAAATTCACTGTATTTGTAATGGAATGTGTATTACAATGCACTTACAATTAGTATTAGTAGGTATTTTGTGGAAAGTTTCACACAATTGTCAAATTCAGTGGCAGTATTGATTGACTTAGTGTTGCCACAATGTAATTCTGTCATAAGGATGATAAGTGACTCCAAATATTATAGTTTTGTTGTCTTCTTTTATGAATATCATCCCGTAAATCGAATGGAGATAAAAGTTAATGCAAGGAAACGGATGGTTTCTTGCTTGAGTATTATTTCTGACAATTTCATTTGATCTACATAATATAGTGTCACCTATGACATATTTATGGTGTCATCACCATGTTGTCATTATAAGCGACACGAAATAAGACTATCCATCACAAATGCTCACTCCCAGGTTATTATTTATCTTTGTAATTCATACGACAGCAACTGTGAACTCAGTATTTCCTGTTGCCTTTTGTTTAAGCCTTACTTCGTGTTTGATTAAAAACAAGTTTATTAAGTCTTAGAGTCACTTATGACAAATGACGCATATTTTTCATATGCGCTATTATATTATGTTTTTTGCTTGAAATTTCTCTGACCAATTAATGGAAGTGAAATAAACTGGCACAGAAAGTGTCATGCTGCTGTGAACTTTTTAAGTTGCTTTTATATGTTCCTTTTGTTGTCATCTGTCATAAATGACACTGTGTTCATTTTTCTAGTTTGGGTCATATTATGGGTCCCACTTACCCCATGTTATCTTCCCACCATCAGAATATCAAAATATAGGTTTCCAGCAACCAATATGCCTTTTCTGAACAAAAATATAAACTTCAAAATAAATTCTTCATGGAGGGCACCTTTTGACCCCAGCTCCATTGTATTATCATCGATCATATTTAAGTCAAAATAATTTTACGATTGGCTTCAGTAGGTGCGGGCTCTAGAGGGTTAAAAACATCTTCAGCCTTTCAGACCAGCTGGCAATGATGCAAGAGAGTTGAACATTGATCCTGTAATAATTAAATTTAAAAAAAAACAACTATGGCACATGCTTTTCCAGCATGCACTGTGAGGACAGTTTTCATAATCTGTTAGCCGAGGCAGAGAGACAGTGACACATCCTGTACGCCCTCGGGTACCTTGCGTGCATCATATGCTAGACATTGGCTACACAGTGAGAGGGGAGGATGAATGGGGTCAACAAAAATCTTTGAAGTCAATGCTATATAAAATCATCGACACACTTAAACAGAAGCTGGAAACACACTTCTCAGAATTTAGGCAAATTTCAGTGGGTGCAATTCATTCGGCCAGCAAATATTGACCACTTGAAAGGAAATTTACTGTGAAAAACATAGTTCAAAGCCTGTACGACATGTACCCATCCCTAGCGATGGAAAAAGAGTCAGCAGCAGGTCCTATACAATGACACCGGGCTCAGGTCGGCGCCGAGTGATGCTAATGACACTGCGTCTCTTTTGGTTGTGATGCACTCGCTGGAGATGCTAACAGCTATATCAACGGTGGCGACAGTGCTGTCACTTGCTGTGACTG